CCCCAAAACCCCAAAACCCCAAAACCCCAAAACCCCAAAATTCATAATTCTAATTGAATCATTATTTAATTTATTTAAAAGGTGACTTAAATAATTTTTACATTTAAAATTTTGAGTGGAATGATGGAGCCTAAGCCTAAAAATGACAATTCTATGGCAGAGGACTTCTTTGCAGGAGGAGTGGCTGCATTATTGTCTAAAACTCTTGTAGCTCCCATTGAAAGAGTCAAAATCCTTCTACAGGTTCAAGGGTCTATAAAGAGAACTCACCCTGAAAATCATTACAAAGGAATACTTGATTGATTTTATACAATAACTACAGAGCAGGGATATCTTTCTCTTTGGAGAGGAAATCTTGCAAATATTTATAGATATTTTCCAACTCAAGCTTTGAACTTTGCTTGCAAAGAAAAATATAAGCAATATTTAAATCCATATGATAAAGAAAAGCAACCAGCCAAGTTCTTTTATGGAAATATTATTTCTGGAAGTGCCGCTGGAGCCACTTCTTTGCTAATAGTTTATCCCCTAGATTTTGCTAGAACTAGACTGGCAGCTGATTGAGGAATACACAGCCAACGGCAGTTCTCTAGCCTTTCAAATTGTATCCAAACAATTTACAGTAAAGAACAATTGAGAGGTCTTTATAGAGGAATAAGAGTTTCTCTCCTAGGAATTGTCGTATATAGAGGAGCTTATTTCGGTTTATATGACACAGGATATGCAATCTTATTTCAAAATAAGGAAGATAGAACTTTCACAAAGCTATGGGCTTTTGCCCAAGTAACAACTCTCCTTGCATGCAAGATCGCGTATCCCCTCGATACAATAAGGAGGAGACTTATGATGCAATCAGGAGTAAAGAATAAAATGTATCATTCAACGTATGAGTATCTTTGACAAATTCATGCAAAAGAAGGCATCCTAGGATTTTTCAAAGGTGGAGCTTCAAACACCCTTAGATCGATCGGTGGAGCTTTAGCTTTAGTATTCTATTCAAAAATTAAAAGTCTGATTGAAGATTATTCTAATAAAATCTAAAATTATTCAATTTTAGCATAATTTTTAGGGGTTTTGGGGTTTTGGGGTTTTGGGGTTTTGGGG